GTACCCCCCTCCTTAGGACTGACCTATCACCCCCGCCTGACCTGTTCCTGCCAATGAATGGACTAATCATGTTTGAGAGTTGTTGTTCTATTTTCTCCCGCCTCATGATGATTTGCTCTGATGTATGCAAAGTCCCTGCCCTCCCTAAAGAAGTGTACTTAAGCACTGCTCAACCCCTGCTCGGGGCTCTTGGCCGCTCTCCCTTCTTGAGTGAGCCTGGAGCCCCAGCGCTCTGGATTGGATCCTCAATAAACCCCCTTTTGCTGTTGCATGAGTCGGTCTCTTGGTGGTCTCTTCCTCTGATGTTTGCCAGACCCTTACAAGTGCAAGCCTCAGAAATGTCAAGACATGGTTGTTGTCATCATTACTGTTACTTCTGTAGCCTTTGGGGAATTGTTTTTTGTTTTGTTTGGTTTGTTTTTTTAACCAGGGATTGAACTCAGGGGCACTTAACCACTTAACATCCCCAGCTCTTTTTCACTTTTTATTTTGATACAGGGTCTTGCTAAGTTGCTTAGGGCCTTGCTAAATTGCTGAGGCTGGCTTTGAACTCATGATCCTCCTGCCTCAGCCTCCCAAGGTACTGGGATTACAGGTATGTGCCACTGTGCCCAGCCAGGAATATTTTTTTTTCTTGTATAATCTTTCACAATTGATTTCTATTCTTAGGTTCTATTAATCAAGACTTTCAGTGATATTTATTTGAATCAAGGAAAAAAAATTTTTTTTTTTTTTTTTTTTGGTTACTGGGATTGAACCCAGGGGTGCTTTATCACTGAGCTACATCTCCAGCTCTTTTTATTTGTATTTTGATACAGGCTTAAGGCCTTGTTAAATTGCTGAGACTGACCTCACCTTTGATGTACCTAACTCAGCCTCCTGGTTGCTGGGATCATAGGTGTGTGCTACTGCACCTGACTCAAAGCAAGGATATTTTAATTGGAAAATAAAGCAGAAAAACGTGAGTTCCATTTTTTAAAAATTGAAATTTTAATTTAACTCAACCTGACCTTTTTTTATGCCTAGGAAAGAAAATGATGGGATACATCTAGTTATATATATCACCAATAATTTTCCATTTCTCAACTCATATTTACCTAGAACAAAAGCCTAATATCACCTCTTCTTATGTCTACTTTTTCTGTGGCAAAATCTTTCCCAAGTTTGTGTAATCTAGAGTGTCCTACAAATACAGATTCCAGGAGATTAAATAAAGGGCTGTGCTGAGCCCAAGGTACAGAGAACAGCAGGTTGTCAGCTACAGCAACATATAACCGGGCAAGAAATAAGCCACATCTGTCTAATTTTCAAGACAAGCATGCTGGCTTTCTGCCACTATGATATTTTTTTTTTTGGCTTAAAGTTTCAGAGGTTTCAATCTGTGGTCAGTGGCTCCATCATTTTGAGGCCCATGGCAAGGCAGAATATCATGGCAGGGACTATGGTGGAACATGCTGCTCGCCTCAGGGAACCAACAAGCAGAGAGAGACAGGAAGGAGCCTGGGTCTCAGCAGCCCCTTCAAGGACACACACAAATGACCCAACTCATTCCACTATCTCCCAACAGCACCACAGGCTGAAGAAAGAATCTTAGTACGCAGACCTTTGGGGACAATCAAGATCCAAATTATAACAAGAAGCTACAATTCTGGGGGTGTTGTTTTGTTTTACAGTAGTGGGTATTGAACCCAGGGGACCTACGTTTCCAGCCCTTCTTATTTTTCATTTTGAGACACAGTATCGATACACTGCCCAGGCTAGCCTGGAACTTGTGACCCCCCTGCCTCAGCCTCCCAAGTCGTAGGGGTTACCGATGTGTGCCACCATGCCCAACTACAAGACTGTATTTTTTATCTCCAGTCTCCAATTTTTTGGAATCTTAGAAATCAATTTCAAAATTTCTAAATATTGTGAGACAAACAAAACACATCTGCAGACCACTGGCTTGTAACTTCTAACTCAATGTATATTCATTTCCCCTTCACAGAGTATTTTAACCCTTTGGATACAAGCTGAATTCAACCACCTACTCCACACAGAGCTGCCATGAGGGGTCTTCACCTGAACAGATACACCCACCCATCTCCCCCTAAGAAGTTAGGAGGGTTCCTTCTAGTCCAGGAAATGCACTAACAATTGAGAAATAAAACTTTGCCAAGATATTTTGGTAGGGAATTATAAAAATCCTCCTTACAGAAGGGAATTACACATGAAATGTTTAGGCAAAACAGTAACTCCATTTATAAGGGCAAATAATTCCCCAAATCTATTTCAAAAGAATTTGCTAACAAGGGATACAACAGAAGAAAGAATTAAAACAGAATGTTTCTAATTTTCATATTTGAAGAGAGAAATGTAAGGGTTTTTTAATATAAAATTGGAAATTAAAACCATGTGACACATCATATCAAAACATTATACCCTCTGTTAAAGGATTGAAATATACCCAAATGCAGTAAGATGATTGTTTTAGTATTGCATTTTAAGTTTTATAACTCTTCAGTTTTACTTATTATTGTAATATATCCGGTGGCCAGATCCCAGCCAATGATACAATATACTATTCTCTCTCTTTGACAATATCGACTTTGTTATTATTGACAGTATCATGGTTTATTTGTTGAATAAAAACATTTGTGATTTTATTGTCTCCTTAGTACAATTAGCATTAAAAGAGGGGCTGGGGGATTTGGGGTGTAGCTCAGTGGCAGAATGCTTGTCTAGCACGTGTGAGGCACTGGGTTTAATCCTCAGCATCACATAAGAAATAAATAGGTATTGTGTTTCCATCTACAACAAAAACAAAAACAAATATCACCTCTTAAAAAAAATAAGTGGCAAGGAGGAGTAAGAAAACAACCTTCAGTGGGAATAGATAACCAAATCTTGGAAACAAGAAAATAAATAACATTTTTATATACCCAACGTTGGGTTACAAATTGGTCAAAAGAGAGGACAACTATTCCCTTTGGACTATTGGTTGGCTTTAAGGAATTTGTTGTAATGAAGAGATAATAACCACACCGGAAAAGGCTTCTTTTGTTTTGTTAAATTTTAATTTTTATTAAAAAGGTCAGTCTTCCATTCCTACCCTTTACTGATTATACTAAACTACAAAATAATATCGTAGTTCTTCAGTACAATCATGCTCATTGTTTCATGCTGAATTTAATGTTTTAAACGTTAATACACGAATTTGACATATACACATTCTGTACACAAATAACCTGTACTTTTCTTTCTTCCCGATGTGTTGGATAAATGTTTTTAAATAAAGGCTGGATTTAAAACGAAATAAAGTTCTTTTGCTGATTTGGTAATGTTTATAAGTTCGGTAAAAAAAATATTTCAAAGCACATCATACAGATATTCACTATTTGTTGGCTAAAGATACGTGTTTGAGCGAAAATGTTTTTGTGCCATCTCACTGTCCTACTGTAGGAGACACCGTAAATATCCCTGTCGAACATTCAAACTGAAGTCCTTCTAGAAAGCTGGCCCTTAGATCTGCACAGTTGGTGACTGTAATTTAACAGTGCGTCACCCTGCTCTGGGGACATTGACGTTATTTGCACGGCCAAGTAATGAACGTGAAACAAAGCGTCGCGCTACTGACCCTCACGCCGAGGCCAGGCCGACGCGCACCAGGACCCGTGCGGAGCAGCTCGGGCACCGCGGGCAGCGCCGCGGGCGCCTGCGTCCACACCCACCGTGGGGCGCCGCGCCGAGGCGGCCTCCCRCGGGGACGTGCGAGACGGGAGGGCGGCACGGTGAGGCCCGCGCGGACTGCGCCAGGAAAGGCCGCCGAGCTCCGCGCGGCGCCCCCGGCACCCAGCGCTGGCCCGGACCCGCGCGCCGAGGCACGGCGCCGTGGAGGAGGCCGGTGAGCGGCTGGGCCCGTCGACCCTCCGCGCGCCGCCTGGGCCGCGGCCCTCCCTGCCCGCGCGGATCCCTCCGCGCCAAGTAGTGCGCGGTCGCGCGCGGGAGAGAAGTGCGGGGCCCGAGCRCCGCGCCAGGCCGTCGCCGCGGGCCTCGGCTGCCGGGCAGTCCCCGGGCCAGCGGCCCTCAGCGCGAGCCGGCGCGAACCAGGGCCGCCCGAGCCGCGGGGCCGGCGGGAGGGAGGCAGGTGTCCCGCCCCGCCCCCACCGCCCCCGGCAGGAAGAGGAAGGGGCCGCGGCCAGACCCGCGGGCCACCCGCCGGGCGGCGCAGGGCGGGGGCGCCCTGGCTTGGGGAGGCGCGTGACCTAGTTCGTCCTAAAGTGGATTTGACAGGTTGTCAGTCGGCTCCCCGCCCCCACCGCCTTCCGGGTCCCTCTCCCCCGCGCGCCCGCGTTCCGGCTCGCCCTGGCTGGGGCCTCGCGCCGCCGGGCGCCCCGCCCTCCCTGCTCGCGCTCCCATTGGTCTCCTGCCGTCTGGCACCCCGCCCCGCCCCGAGCCGCCCTTCGCTGGCCGCGGGCCGCCTATCGCCCGGCTCGCCTTCCCATTGGCCTCGCGCCGCCTCGTGCCCCGCCCTTCCCCCCAGAGCACCCTCCCATTGGCCTCGCGCCGCCTGGCGCCCCGCCCCCTCCGCTGCTCCCTCCCCCGCTGAGCCCGGCTGGTCGCTGCGCTCTCGGTTCCCGCGGGCTTTCCTGGCGACGGCCTCCCCCCTTCTGTCCTGGGGTCTTGCTCCTCTCCCTCTTCTTTTCTYCACGTCTCTCCTCTCCCTCTTCGTTTCTTTACGCCTCTCCCCCTCCTGCTTTCCGCCTGTTCCGGGAGCCGAGCCCGGTCGCCTGGCTGCGCCGTGCAGCCGAGCGAGGCCCCCAGGTCCCTGTGGAACTGCGCTCCCCCTGCCTCCAACTCCCTCCATCATCCGACGTGTTCTTTTCTTCACTGCTCATTTCTTTCTTCCCTGAAATAGGAGGCAGCTAGTCCCTTCTCCATTCTCCTTGTTTTCAGTCTGTACTGTTTCTCCCTTTCGCCACCCCACCCCACTCCTTGGTTTCCCCCTTGTCCCCGCCCTCCCACCTTCTCCCTAAAMTCAGCCCGATGGAACAGTGAGAGGGCGAAGATAAAAATGGCAAATGTCAGTGTCAACACTGTTATTGTTTTTGGTTGCTGAAACGGAAGATGAACTGGAATGCCCAAATCAACTCAGACCCAGGACCAAGATTGAGTTCTTAAAATTGCAAGTGAGACTGCAACGACAAAGTTAATTATGCCAGCAAAATTATCAGCTTTTTCAGGCAGTGGGTGGGASCGTTTAACTCTTATTTTCATTGTTTGCAATATTGAAAATGGGCTGAGGTTCGGGGCCAATCTGCGCACAAGTCATTTGGAATAAACAGTAGAAACGAGGCAGATTGGCTGGGGGTAGAGCCCAGTGGTAGAGTGCTTGGCAAGATCCTGAGATCAATTCCCAATATTGGAAGAAAAAAAAAGTGTGTGTGTGTATGATACAATGAAGAAACAAGTAACTTTTATTATTATAGTGGAAGATCTTAAATGTGATCCCAGGTAAGACTCCAGATGGCAGCTYATTAAAACATCCAGAAGGCGGAACAGGCACGTATACCTTTCCATCTACCACGGGCGATTTCACAAACCTCCCAGCTCTGACCTACTAGGCCCAGCCTTCTGGGACCCTTGTTGCCTTTCCAGTCTCACTCATTACATTCCAAGCACACTGAAGACCTTTCTGCCCAAACATTTTGTGCCACAGGGCCTTTGTATTTGTTATTTCTTTGCCCTTCGGACCACCCATGTGACTCAGCTCATGTGTCAACTCAGGGAGGCATTTCTTTCTTTTGCTTCTGTACTGGGTATTGAGCCCAGGGGTGCTCTACCACTGAATTACATCCCTGCCCCCTTTTAAACTTTTATTTTGTGGCAGGGTCTCATTATGTTGCTCAGGCTGGCTTCAAACTTCCATCCCCTACTTCAGCCTCCTGGGTCTCTAGGGTTATAGGTTTGTACCACAGGTCAGACTCAGGGAGGCATTTCTTTCTTTYTTT